AAGCGCGGGGAGGGGGAGCGGAAGAGGGAAGGAGGCCCGGGAAAGCGGACCGGGGAGGGGTGGGGGATCCCTGCTGGCTGAGGTCCGGGGGCGGGGCGCGGAGTCCCGGCACCCCGACGTCAGGCTGACGCGGACTCGGCCTGGAAGGGTTCTTAGGGGTCACTTGGAAACGTCCATGCCCAGCCTTTTACAGAGGAGAGCGCAGACACAGAGTAAGTCTGCCCAAGGTCGCGCCGAGTGCGACCGAAGGAACACCTCCTGCCTGCCTGCCCCTCCCACCCAAGCACGGCGGCTGCGGGCTCCGGGGCCCAGCGTCCCCTAGGAGGGGGCTGGGAGGCCGGTACCTTAGGGGATAGTTGACGGGTCTCGATGGCCCGCAGGTCTTTGTCCAGCTCGGCGCTCAGCTTAGCCAGCTCTCTCTCCAGCAGGACCTTGGCGGGTGATGGGAAGACACTTGGGCAGTGGGGGGAGGGGGGAGAAGCAGTGCAGTGTAGGGGGGGCCTCTGGTCAAAGGTCACATGTGAGAAGTCCAATGGGCAGCGGGACAAAGCACACTGTGCTTGCGTAAAGGGCAGGCTCCGGGCACAGGGCCAGGACAGGCTCCTTGCCTGCGTGCCTGCCCGGAGGTGTGTCTCAGAGTGTCAGGAGGGCCGTCCCTCCTGACCCAGCTCACCCATCTGGTACTCCCATGACAATCCCTTAGGACTCAGGACCATTTTTTGTCACGTTACTTCTCTGGGAGCCTGCAGGGCTTCCCATTCCCTCTCCCTTCCTGCTCTCCCATCCTACTGCCCATCCAGCCTTCCAGCCTTCGCCTCTGTGCCTCCCCTTCCCCCCACCCCCCCAGCGCCCTCTCTCTGCCTGGCCAAGCCCTCTCAACTCTTTAGAGCCCAGGTCCTCCAAAAACTATTTCCTGACAATTCCATTCCACACTTACTCCTCCCTTCTCTGATCCTGCTTTGGTCAACACACGTTTGAGTGCCTACTGTGTGCCAGGCAGTGTCCTGGGTGCTGGGGATACAGAGGTAAGTGGTGTGGGACTGGAGAGGATCAGAGCCTGGGGCCGTGGCCTTTGACCATGGTCACTGGGACACCACCACCCAGAATTTCTCTCATTTGTGCCCCAACATTGCTGTCTCCTCTCCCCCCACCTTCCCTGCAGCACTCACCTCAATGGGCTGGGAGGGCTTCTCAACAGGGTCATCCACCAGCGGTTTCTTGGGCTAAGGGTGGGAAGGGTTAGAGGGTGTGAACTCGCTTTCCAAAATGCACTAGTCAGGGAGTGCATCCACTCCCAGAAAACCAGGCTCACCCTCACCTTCTGCCCAGTCTCTAGTTCTTGCAGAAATTGGTTCCAAGATTCTTCTGTCCAGACATTGTCCACTTTTTCTCGGCGTCTGGGCACCTGCATGGAGGTGGGTGGGCATCAGCTTGAGTAAAGGCGTACTGGGACACTGGGCAGGCTCAAAAAGCAGGATTTCCGACCGCTGCCCCACCCCTATGCCCGCCAGTTCCCTAAGGATTCTGGGCTCTCCTGTCTGCACAGGCCCCAGATGAAAGGGCCCAGCCAAAGAGCATGACGGTGGGGGTGGCGTGGGGAGGGTGCTGGGCGGGCTACCTGATTTGGGGTCTGGGGCAGGGAAGAGAATGTTCCAGGATTACAGTTGGAAGTGTTTCTAGAAAACTCTTCAGAGAGGTCCCAGCTTCTTCTAGAGAAAGGGAAGGTCATCTCTTCAGTTCCTTTTAGGGAAACTGGCATAAGCGAGAACACAGCCTGGGAGAGGGAGCTGCACCCCGCATCCGCACCTGCTCTGGGCTGCAGAGCAGTGTTAAATAGTGAAAGGTTATGGGATCAGAGTTCAAATCCCAGCTCCACCACTTAGCTGTGCTACCTTTTGCCAAGTGACTGAACTCTCGGAGCCTCCGATTCGATACCTGCAATGTGGGAACGATTCCCACCTGTACCCAGGTGTGGTGAGGCTTAGGTGAGGGGATGTATGTGAGACAGCCAGGAAAAGTCCTGACATATGCATTTGCTCCATGAGGGGCCAGTCCCTTTCCTGATGGCCTTGGTGAACAGCCCGCATTTGTGTTCAGTCTGGCCCCAAGACTGTGGTTATGTATGTTCACGCTTATTAAATGAAGCTGGTCTTTCTGCTGCCACATTGAGTGGTCTTGTACCCATGCCCAAGGGTGTGGGGACTACATCCTAGTCTGAGTAAAACCCTGGACAGAGAAAGAGACTGCAGCCCTGGCCCAGAAGCCCTGGGCAAGTTGTTTCTGCTCCCTGGACCTCAGTTCCCCGAGGGTGCTGGTTCAGCGACATCATCTGGGAGACCAGCCGCATTCCAGGTACTGCACTGTCACATTTGCCTTCGTCCCCCTCCAGAGCTCCCATCTTGGTTGGCTTGAATGTTCCAGCCTCTGCTGAATTTGAATGTTTCCATTAAGTGGAATTACTGTGCCAAGCTTATCGAATGATGAAATGTCTGACTGGAAGGTCAGGATTTGTTGGCTGTAATTTTGACTACATTCTCTATTTTTAAAATAATATTGGTAATATTGGTGATAATGAGAATGGAATACGTTGTTCTTAATTTAAAGAAGCTCTACTCGTAATTAAGCCTGTATATTAGTAATGTTTGTGTAGACTTGCTATGTGCCTTGATCCTTACAAACCGCCTTATGATCTCCACTTAACAGATACTGAGTCTTAGATTGGTTAAGTTGCCCAGTCACATGGCTAGTGGCAGCACACCAGCTTGAATCCAGAACTCTGGGTCCCAATCTTGAGCTCTCAGTCTCCATCATATTGATGCCTAGAGCCCATGCCAGTTATGGCTATGCCAGTTAACCCCTCCCTGCAAAGGAATAAGAACCTCATTGATTTCACGGACAGCAAAGTTCCTGACTCCCAAGGTGGAATTGAGCCCTCCAGGCCCTGGCAGCCCGGGCTGGGCCTATGTGTCTTGCACGGAGAAAAACAGTTACATCCTTCACCTGTCTGGAGGGGTTCCTCTTTCAGTGGCATCTGGGAGGATCCTCCACTCCCCTTGTTTTCCTCAGGCTTCAGAGTGGATGGCCACAGGTCCACCCACACCTAGCTGTGGGCGCCCTCACCCTCCACCCCATATGACCTATGGGTCTTTGGGGTGATGAGTTCCAGCTGCCCACCACACAAGCATCACGGGGCTTATGACCAGGAATGGATGCAAAGTCTACCCCTGCCCACCATTCCTTTTGGGCCCTGGAGGAGAAGGGAGTTTCTGGAGCCATGGGAGCCCTGAGAAGGGGCTGAGCAGTAAGGGGAGCCAGACCCCCACCTGCCTGCTCCAAGGCTGTGCTGGCTGTGGCCACCAGGGACACCAGTTCCACAAGGAAGCCAGCGCCTCTCTGCATCCCTCAGGCCCTTCCCCACCTTGGCTCACCCACTCAGAGAGGAGGCCTGGCCCGGCCTGGAGGCAGGTCTTTGCTGGGGCCCGGGGTTCCTTGAGTCTGCAGAGGCAGCACAGGAGGAAGACACTGAAGGCAGGAGAAGACAGGCAGGGTGGGGGAGGTGAGCGCAGGGGTCGAGGGTGCCTGGGTGACCATCGCAGGTTCTGGAACCCATGCCCACCCACACTCCCAGGTGGCTCGTGAACAGGGGTGGTGCTCCAGTAAATGTGGGCTTTGCACTGCGTGCTTTACGCTCTCTACTAAATCTTCAAAACAACTCTGGGGTAGGCGATGTCCCCATTTTACAGAGGAGGAAAGAGAGGCCCAGAGAAATCACAACCAGGGCTGGGCATTCACTGGACAGTGAAGCCGAGGCTCCTAATTACCACCTATCAGGGGATTTGGAGCTCACCAGAAATGGGCTACACAAACTTCTCAAGTTCAACTAAGCCCACCAGGGAGCCCCAGAGGGCCAGGTGTGGCTGCAGGGAGGGCAAATGCAGAGCCAGGCTGGGGCGGGCCACCCACGCCCCCTCACCTTTGGGTGCTTCCTCAAAGGTCCAGTCCAGCTGCAGTTCTGCGGGAGCAGAAAGGACCAGGTCAGGGGTGGGGCAACGAAAGGGGACAGGGTGCCCTGCGAGGCCGTCTCGGCCGCTCCCAGCCTCCCTCCTGCCTAGAGCAGGGGCCAAGGGACTGAGTCAGGGCCTGAAGAATGTCCCGAGGGAGGGAAAGAATTAGGAGGGCAGTTCTGGGGAGGACTTGAAATGCCTTTGGCAGACTTAGGGCCTGCGCGAGCCAACTTGGGCAGTGAACTTGCCCAAACCCTCCCTCCCTGGTTCCCACGCACAGCCTCTCCCTGACCTTCCTAGACCGGCCGCACCGAGTCCGGTCGGGGAAACTGCACTTCCTCTTCTCTCTCTATCCCCGCTTTTGCACCCTCTTCTAGATGCTCGTCCTGCCCACTTTGCCCAGACTGGCTCCTCACGGTGCTCACGACTTTTCGACTTTCCTACTTTCTGACTTCCCGAGTCCTTGGAGAAGGAGCTGCTGACCAGCCAGCCCACTCGATCCCCGATCCCCGGGGCAGGCAGAAGTGCCCCAACAGCTCCTCACACACTAACCAGACGCCCCTCTCTAGGTCCCACACCTCCCTCCAGCTCCCTGAATTTTCTGCTTTCCTTCACAGCAAACGGCTGGCCATAACTCTCTCGCTGTCTCCAATTCCCCTTCCTGTTAAGCAGGCTTCGGTCCCACCACTGTTGCCCCAACTGCTCTTCTCGAGGATGCGGTGACCTCCACATTCCCAAATCAAATGGTCAGTGGTATGGGCCCAGCAGCCGCGTTCGTCACACTGGATCCCTTCTTCCTATTGAAATTCCTCTTCCACTTGGCCTTAAGGGGACCACTCTGGTTTTCCTCCTACCTCCCATCTGCAGTCCCTCAGTCAGTGAGGCTGATTGCTGCTCATCTCTGGAACCTCTAAACATCCCAGTGCCCCAGGCTCAGACCTTGGGCCTCTGTCTCTCCATCTCCCTAGGTGATCATGTCTGGTCTTCTGGCTTGAAAAAAGAGCATCTATTCCAAGGATTCACAACCTTGGCTGCACATTGAAATTACTTGGGAAGCTTTACATCAAAACCTCTGAGTGAGTCCCAAGAATTTCCATCTGCAGCCCAGGCCTGGCCCCCTGAACTACAGACTTGTGTATTAACTGCCCACTCAACGTCTCCACTCAGATATACCACATGTAGATGGTAGGCCTCTTATGCCTGCACCTCCCACAGTCTTCCCTGCATTGACAAGTGGGAACGCCATCCTTTGACCTGCTCAGGTTTAAAGTCACCTATGACACCTCTCTTTCATGCCACGTTCAGTCCATCAGCAAATGCCCATGACTCTGTCTCCAAATCCCTCCAGGCCTGCTGCTACTGCCCTGGTCTGAGACACTGTCATCTCTAGCCTGATTAAAGCCAGGCCTCCTAAGTGGTCCCCTGCTTTCGCCCCTGCCCCATCTCTTCCTGACCTGGCAGCCAGAGTGAGCCACTCTTCTGCTCAGAACCTCCAGGGGGCTCCTCAGCTCTTGCAGAATAAAGCCAAAGTCCTTCTAATGGCCCCAAAGGCCCTCCGTGACCATCCCATCTCCCACCTCACACCCCCCTCTCACTCCAGTCTGACCTTTCCTCGATGCTCCAGAACATGCCAGGCCTGCTTCTGCCTCTGGATCTCTGGTGCCCCATCTGGGCCAATACTAACCCGCTAACCCCCTCACCCCCACCCCCACCCTGCAGGGCTAACTCCTCCACTCTCGGAGCTCTCTGCTCCAGTGCCACTTGGCAGGGGCCTCACCTGGCCAGCCTCCCTCACTGAGCACTCCCCAGCCCTTTGCTCTCTCATGCTGACCACCATCTGCCATATTGAATATTTATCTGTTTATTCTGTCTCCCTCTGTCTTAAGCTTCACTAGGGGAAGGACATCCTTTTCTGTTCCCTGCTTTATCTTCAGAACCTAGAATAGTGCTCAGTACACAGTTAAGTGCTCAATAGATGGTCAAGGGACTGATTGAATGAATGAGTGACCTTGCGGCCTCCCAGGAGGATACCAAGGACAGCGTCTGGTCATTGCCTTCCCCACCCCCCCACATCCCCCTAGGACAGGGAGCGGATTGGAGGCTCCTTCTTTTGGCCTGTTTTAGGAACCACTCACCACAGATCCTGGACCTCTCTGAGCCGCAGGTGCCCTTCTCCGCCCCTCCCTCCCCAGGCCCCAGGGGCCGGAGCCCACTCAGGCAGAGGGAGGGCCCTGGAACTGCGTCTCACCTGGCATTTTCCGGTGAATCTGCTGGAACATTCTCCGGTACCAGTCCCTGGGGCTGTCAACACTCTGGGATTAGAAGAGGCAAAGTCGGGCCACCCCCTCCCCCAACACCAAGCCACAGTTTTCCTTACTGAGCCCTTTCTCTGGACACCCTCGAAAGCCCCGCGGGCGGGCTGTGGTGGCGTCTTCAACGACAAGAACTTTGTGGAGCATGTTATATATGAGCAAGATATAGGGAAGGATCCCTAAATCGTGAGATTTGAGGTAGTTTACGTTTTTCCTCTTGGCTTTTCTATATATCTGATGTTTCTACACAGAACACGTGCTTCTATGTAATGAAAAATAAAAGCAATAATATAGGGGAAAATGGCATTTCCTATTGTCTGACTCAACACAGCCCTGGGAGGCAGGAAGGGTGTGTTACCAACTTCGTGTTCAGACGAGGATGTGCAGAACTAGAGGCAGGTGGCTGGCTCGAGACAGGCATGGAGTGGAAGGAGGACGGCGCCCCTCGCCCCTCGGAGCCTGGACCCAGGACCCACCCATGCCCCACAGCGCAAGGCCTCCTCACTTCAGACTCTCCCGCTCACTCATTCAGCCAGTCATTCATTCACCTCGCAACCGGTTCACTAGCGCTGTGCCTGGTCCTGGGGCTCCGAAACCAAGAGGGGCGCTGGCCAGCGTCGGCCCTCAGAGCAGTGGCCCTCCACCTCTGAGAGCCTGGGGGGCATTCTAGATCCTCCCCCTGAACCCCAAAACACTCGTGCAACTCAGACATACAAGCGTGCCTATAATTTTAGGGGACTCACAACCCCCGAGACCCACCGTGGTTGCACCCCTGTTTTAGTCTGAAATGTCTGGGTGCAGCTTTGGTTGCCCCTACTTTAATTAACAGAAGTGGAGCTCAGTGCAGGTCCCTAAGCCCCACCTATCAGTGGCCCCCAGCCCTGGACTCACGGATCGGGGGGCAATAGGCATGCCGCTTTCATCCACAGGCCCGATTCCCTCATACTTGACCCAGCGCTTGTCCTGGCGTTTGCTGTCCTTGGTCCATGTGGCTGACCAGTTCTGGGGATGCTGGGAGGTGGGGGTCTTCTGGGTCCCTGAGGGCCGGTTCCCAGGGCCTGGCCAGGTCTGATACCAAGCGGGGTCTGCGGGCATGCGCACGAGAGCATGAGCAATGGGCAGGGGCCTCACCTGGTCTTGTTTGTCCCTTAGCTCTTCAGAACATCGGTCCCTGTGGGTTCAAATGTTTCAACATCTTGTCTGAGCTGATGACGCAGGCTCTACCAACCTCCCCATCCCCAGCAGCACCACAGGCTTCTGTTTGTTTATTTTTAGTTAAAGTGAATAAATTTGGAATTTGTCTTAAGAAATCTGTGCCTACCCCACCCTGCTTTCCTGGGGGCTACCCTAAGAGCTTCCAGAATGAAGGCTGGGAATTATTACTTGCAGAGACTGCTGGGGACATCCCAGCGGGGGAGGAAGAAAAGACACTGGGCTTGGAGGGGACAGACCTGAATTCAGACCCTAGCTTTGCCACCTACTGGCTGTGTGACCTTGGGCACAGCAATCAGCCCCCCCAGTGCCTCAGTCTCCACTTCTGTAGAACGAGGGTCATCCTGGCAAGGATTCAGTGTGTAACCATACTCAGCATGGTGCCTGACACACAGTGGAAAGGCTCTCAGTAAGGGGCAGAGACTCATTCCCAGCCGTGGCTACGGTGTCCTCAATGTCCCCAGAACCTTCAGTCCCTAGGTCACCAGAGTAGCAGCACAAGGGCTTCAGGATGTGAATGTCAGCTCAGCCTCTGTGAGTGAACCTCTCTGCAACTCATTTCCTCACTGGAAAGACGTCGATACTTTGCAAGGAAGTCGAGGGATTAAATGAATGAGAATAGGATTATAGAGCATCTTTATAGCATCCAGCATGTTCTAAGTGCTCAGGTCTTATTTGTTAAATAAATAAACTACTTGACACAGTGCCTGCCTAAAGGGAACGGCTCAATAAAGGATGCCAGCCTCTTGAGGAGAGGGGTCCCCAGGGTGGGCCCCCATGCAGGATGTTCCAGGCACTCCTGGACCCTGTGGCCCAGGCTGGGGTGACTCACAGGAGCCCAGGAGCTGACGAGCTGCCAGGGCTGCCTGTCCACCTTGTGCTGGGCCGGTGAGTACAGACTACAGCAGTACTCAGGGCCTGTCGTGGGGTTTGGCCCCCACACCCTGGTACAGCCAACAGAGAGTTTACATTCCTCTGCTCTTCCATCCCCAAACCGAGCTATTCCCTGAGCTATTCCCTGTCCTGCTGGAGGTCCCCGCGGCCGCCACCGCCTTGTCCCCTGCACACTTCCTTCCCCTGGCACCGGTGGGGCGGGGAGGGGAAGGGATGTGTCAGCCTGTCCTCTCCACAGCTTTCACTCTCACAGGCCAGCATGCTCACACAGACAGGCAGTTAGCTGCGTTCTGAGGCCCCCACCCCTCTCCCGTCCAACATGGGATGCTACCAGATGGCAGGGCCCAGGAAGTCTGATCCCCCACCCCCGCCTAGGGCCCCCGGAGCAGGTTTTCTGGAGCAGACCCACCTGGGTGCCGGGAAGCATCTCTCCTTGGTGGGAGGTACCCATTGCACACGGTCCTGGGCGCGGGGTCATGGAACTGGAAATTAAGGGTGTTGGAGCCACCATTCCGGATCACAGGCACCTGTGAGGAGGGGCCAGGAGCAGCAGCTCAGGCCCAGAAGGTTCTGCAGAAGGGTGGAGGGGTGGCTGCCAGGACACTGCCATACCCTATGGTGAGGGCTCCAGGGCCAGCCTGACCTTTTTGCAGGAAAGCAGCAAGCACCTTAGAGCTCCCTTCTGACCCCGCCTTCCCTCCTTACAGTCTTTTAATCCTGCTCCCCACCTGTCTTATGAGATCCCCACTGACTATGAGCCCTTGCTGTCTCACTCACCCGTGACCCCTGGGAAGATGACCCTACGTGGGCCCGGAGGTGGCCAGGGATGAAGTCGTCCAGGCTGAGCCCAGCTGGGAGGCTGCAGGGTGGGGCCTGCATGCTTGGGTCAAGGTCGGCAGACTCCGGGTGTGCCAGCGGCTCCTCTGGCTGTCCTCTGTGGGGAAGGGAGGAGGAAGGGAAAGCCTTGCAGGGCCTGGACTGCCTGTGCCCTCTGGCATCGGTGGGAGAGGAGGGGACAGCTGTGGGAGGGGTCGGGGCCAGCTGGGTGGGAGCTTCAGGACCCAGGAAACAGGCCACTGGGGCACCCGCCTGCAGGCTGCCAATGCCTGCTCCCAGAGGTACAATGGGCTGCTTGTTAGGCCCCAGGCAGGAGCTCCGGGTGGGAGTGGGGGAGGGGAGGCCAAGTCAGGAGGAGGGGAGGCTGGCCAGGAGCGGACCTGCTGGACAAAGCCTAGGGCAGGCTTGATGGCCAGCCCCTCTGGGGCTCTCACTGCACAGTCAGCCCGCTCCCCCAGAGGAAAGGCAGAGGGAACTGGGGCAGCTGGCAGGGGAGCCTGGGCGCGCAGGACTTAGTTTCAGTTCCCTCTGCATCCCCCAGTCCCTGTGTGAGCATTTGCTCCCCAGCAGGCACAAGGGGTTCCTCAGGCAGAGAGGGAGGAGCAGGGAGGCCCTGGGCAACAGCAAGGTCACCCACCCACTGCTGAGCAGGGCCAAGGTTCTGGGGAATGGAGTGTGGGGGCATTTCTAGGCAGCAGGAACCACTCCTGAGCTCAGAGGAGTATCAGCTGTCTTGTTCGGCCTCTTTGGCTCAAACTGATGCTTCAGAGGGCTCGAGGTGCCAGTGAGGGGTGGGGGCAGGGAGCACAGCAGTGGTTAAGAGCAAAGTTAGACTTGTACATGGAGGGGTAGTGCTGTCTCTCTCTCTCTCTCTCTCTCTCTCTTCTCTCTCTCACACACACACACACACACACACACACACACACACACACACACACACACTTTCTGCTATACCTCCAGGTTGTTTTTTCAACAGAGGGTCTTCCTGGGAGCAGCAAGCCTGACTGGCCAGCCGGCTGACTGGCTCTTTTGCCTCCATGCAAAGGTTAGGTCAAGGGAAGAGGCTCCAGGCAGCCAGGAGATGGAGACGGTGGGGTTGTCCAACAGGGCTTTGCTACCCAGAGAGTGGTGGTGAGGAGCGAGTCCCTCATCTGTGCTGTTGGACGGGGCCGGAAGTCACGCCAACCTTCACCACCATCTGGGGCTAGACCAATTCTGGTGTTTTTTGTGTATGCCTGTGTGGTCTGGGGGCTCCCAGGAGAGCAACAAGAGCCTTGTGAAGTGCCGTGTGTGTGTGTGTGTGTGTGTGTGTGTGTGTGTGTGTGGTGGCATATAAGCACAGTACTGTAAATGTGACTTGTGGAGTTAGCACAGGGTGTCGGGGGGCATGTGAGCAGCATGGAGGTTATGGGTACAGAGGGGTGTGCAGTGGGGAGTCATACAAGCAGCAGAAGAGTTACAGAGACCAGAGTGGATGCAGGTACAACAGTGGCTGTGATTACTCCTGTACCCAGTTTCTGGTCAGGCCATGGCAGGCTGGAGGGTACAGACGCTGCTGGGGCAGTTTCCTGTCTCTGGTTTGAGTGGGGACGTCTTCTGACCCATGAAAGACCTACTCGGGACGTATCTTTTCTACACCCATCTCTGGCTGTGTTGGGAGTGGAGGGCTGAGGCTGGAGGAAGGGCAGCTCACCAGCTGGATCCAATTAGGGCTCCTACCCAAAGCACAACATGGAGACACACCCCAGTCCCTGCTGCTCTCCTTCCCTTGCGGGGGAAATTGAGGCATAGGAGAGTGGGAGATCAGAGGCCGGAGGCCAGGGGCAGGCTGGTTCCCAGCAGCCACCCCTCCCTGACCAGCTGACTGCTTGAGGCCAAGTTGCCAGGTCAGCATCAGCAGTCCCTACCCGTCAGCTGACCCAGCCTCCTTCCCTGCCTCTGGCCCACCCTGCTGTGCTCAGTGAGACCAGCCCTCTCTGGCAGGATGGGGAGGGCTGGAGGTCCCCCCACACCACCAGATTTTTCAGGGGGGGTCTAATCCTTGGGGACCCAGTCTGGCCCTCCCCAACATTGCTCCCTGTGGCACACCCCCAGGAACATGCAAAGGTTGGGTGGGGAAGGATGGGCTGGGTTTTTCTCCTGGAAGCCCTGCCAGAGGACATTAAGGAGACTTCTCCTAGGTAGAATGACGCGTGGGAGAAATTGGTCCTGCATTTGGCAGAGGACATAGGTGCCAGGAAATCTCGAGGGTCCAGAGTTCACTGGGATAGCCCGTCACCCTGGCAGGCAGCTCCAAAGCGCTGGAAGAGGCCAAGTGGCTTTGCTTAGCCGGGGACGCCTTCCCACCTGGAAGTAATGCCCAGGCCTTGGGGGCTTGGCCCTAGGCGCCTTCACACGTATTTTCCAGCTATGAGTCCACGTGGACAGGACAGGTTTTCCCGAATTTCGCTTTTATTGGATTGAGGAGAGGACTTTTCACCTCTTTCCCACCCCTCACCCCGCCCCGAGTTTGGGGCGAGGACCCTAGAAGCAGCGCTCTGTGCCTTCCCATCGGGCTGGAAGCCGGCGCCTCCCCGCTTGCGCCCCCGCCTCCTCTCCTCCCCCTCTCCTCCGCACCTACCTTCCACAGCGCGCAGGTGGCAGGCACTGAGGACGCCCAGGAGGGCAGGAGCATCTCGGCGCTCCTGCCT